TTGCATAGATCCTAGCACCGAGTCAATTTTTCTTTGAGATTGATGAATTTGATTTAGTCTTTACTTCAAACTTTTATTGTGTAAATGATTAAATTCATCCTTTGTTTGGAAATGGACTTTGAACCCTTTGATCTTAGATGGTGAATGGATTCACCATTTTATTTGGAAATGAATATCTAGCTATTTGAAAGATAACATAAAATGTTTTAGTGAAGCTTACTTGAGTTATGGACTGTAGATAGTGACAGTATCCACTAGCCCTTACGCATAATGCGTACCTTTGATTCAGTAGCTAATGAAGTCCTAACCCTTTTTGATTTGGTTTTGTTTAGTAGTTGATACCATCCTACCTCCTTTGATATATGGTTGATGACCATCATATATACGACGACTTAGGTGCTACGACACACTTTGATTTGATTGTCTATGCTATCTAGTGCTCCACAATCTATTTGAATTGATATTGACACCATGGAATTTGGACTCGATATTGGTGTTGATTTTGGACTTGGAATTGATATTGTTTCGACTTTGGACTTTGGTTTTGGCGTTTGCTCAAACGTTGGTCGTTGGATTTGGCAATTATTTCAACCATAGTGCTTGAGTCTGTTGTTTGTTTCGATCTAGCATTTGGAATTGGTATTTCTCTCAACCTTGATCTATGAATTGGATATTTGCCCTGACTTTGGTGTTAGACTTGATTTATTTAATTTAATACAGACTATGTTAGTTTTGAAATCCACTTGTTTGCTTCAAAGATTTTCTAAATACAACAAAATTATTTCATTCTCTTTTTTGGAAACTAAATCTTTATTTTCCTTAACATCTACAAAAGCTTTTAGACTCGACACTTATAAATTGTTTTCTTAAAAATACTTCACCATTTTACAAACTATTATTCTCATTTCGAAGGCTTATAAATGGGATTTCAACAAAATCTTATAAAATCTTTTTAAATGAGTTTGTATCTATTAAGACGATGGTATTGAGGTTTTCTTTGACCTATAACTCACACCTTGAGATGTTTGATCTCGTTCGGGGATTGAATTTTCAAACTCTTTGAATATTTGATATATTTGAAAGGAAAACTTGATGTTATTTGAAATATTTTACTTGTATTTATTTTAAAAGTATCTTTAACAAACAATCTCCTATTTAACTTGTTTCTCTTCCCCATATCTGTTCTTGGAGTTATTTATAACTCACACATGTAAGATGCATTTGTTTTGCAGATCAGTAGTTGCTTGAACTTGCTATTCTTTGGAAGGAGGTACTTCCATAATCAACATTGTTAGGTGTTTGGTAAGACATCCAATAGACATCAACCTTTTTGTATTGAGTTGTACTACGCTAGTCCTATTTGATTTGGTCAGTTATGTTTGACTAATAGATAATATTTTGCTATGTCTTGTATTAAATGATATGATTGTTGAAAATTGCCATGGGATAACTACACTTTGTATTTGCCACAAAATGACCTATATATGTTACTTGACATGTGTTGCTTACGTATTTTGAACAAGTTAGCATGCAAACTAATATAACATATTCCTATGTGACATAATATGTTCATGCATGTTTGATATATGGTTCCATAGTGATAAGGCCTATGAGGAAATTCCAAACATTTTATTTATTTGTTCATCTTAGGCTTGCATGAGATAAGAAGGCCACTCTCATCGATACCCTTGTGCCGGTCATAACCCTCGAATTTGGATTGTGACATTTTAATAATTTATTAAATATATTTGTGAATTGCTATTTAAATGTTAATATGATTAT